TCTGTAGGTTGTACTTTAACTACCTGGAACCCATATAAAACATGTATTAAATAGCATTCATTTTTGAATAGTCTCAATTCAAAAATATTTTGATCTCTTCCTCAAATGTAATATCTTTTTTTTTTGGCTTATATTCATCTTGTTTTTGTCTACATTTTGTCTCTTTTTATATTTTTACTGAAACATCCCACTTTACCCCATACTAATATTAGCTTTAAGAACATCTTTGAGCTGTTCTTTCCTAGCAATAACCTTTAAAATAACCCTACTCACATTGATATACCTCTCATAGACATGTTGGTGAATTGCTGCTGGTGCTGATTGTGAACCTTTGTGAACATTCTGACAAGAGAGAACACAAAATTTGAGCCGGAACACAAGACAGAAGAGTGACCTACACTTACCGACTTGGTAACAGTTAGTTAAGCAAGTTATTAGGATATTTCTAAGACATGCTGAAGGCATCTGAATCAGAGAGTAGATGGTTTCAAATTTCAAATGTCCTTCAGAGACTGAGAATCCTAAATACTAAGATAGGGTCTGTTCCAGGATGGTTTCCAGAAACCACAAAATGAAAACTGAAGGAAGAAAAAACCTGGAAATCTGAAAGTTTTCAGTGCCCTCCCCAGTCAGTTCCATTTGTTCTTCTTTTTTTTTTTTTTTCCCTTCATTTCCCATTCATTCTCTTTCACCACAGCCCTGCAAAGTCTACTCCATTTTCCTCAATTTAAATTCAACCCTCTGACCTTTTAAGAATGTCACAGCCTTTCTTTTTTCCCTGCCAAAATCTCAGAAATCTTTGAAAATAATATTCAGTTTTGTTCTCTGCTACTTGATTGCTTTCTGCAGACATTTCTTTTTCTTTCTTTGGATAGCCATGCCTTTTCCTTTGAGGTGATCCTTCCTCTCTGCTCACCACCCACCAAAAGAGAGTTACCCCCAAGCGCTGATTATATTAATGACGTATTTATAATCAGCAGAAGTAAGGGAGCTCCAATTTCCAAGCCTCTACCTGGTGCACTTTGAGTATATCAGATCGAATAAGGTGGAAATTCAAGGGTTGTCCTGTAGTTGGGACACCTGTGTGTCCTTCTCTCTCTTTCTTGTGTCTTTTCTGTGATCACATGAGAAGTGATATGCAGCTCAAGTCCTTCGCAAGGCTCTAATACGAATTAGATAATTAGATTAATATGCGAATATTTCCTCTACCCAGTGACCAGGAAGACCCTGAGAACTCAAAATGCCTCACTAGTCCTGCCCAGCATCCCCTTAGTGCCAAATCACTGAAGGATAGCTAAGTTAGTCCAACTATTCTTAATACCTGGTTGATTTCTCCTTTGTTATATTTATTTAACTCTGAATTCCTAATGCAAAGCCTACATTACTCAAAGCCTGGATATCATCACGGAATCTCCTGCAGGACAAAATAACAACATAAAAAGAATCCCTGAAGCTGTTTTGCCGCACACAATTAATATCCACTGATGTCTATACATTTTGCCTTTCTTTCCAGCAAGCCTCATAGACTCTGCGGTTTTATAGTTTTCATAGAGCTTTTGTGAGAATGTCAGAATCAAATTTTGAGTTTGTTTCTAAGGGAAAAAAAAAAATTAAAAGCACACTAACCACCACATCACTAACTAACACTGCTATTGGAGATAATAAGCTAGCCCCCAAGACATACTGGGTAATAAATGCAGTGGGTCAGTCAAGCGCAACCAAAAAAAGCGCTTGAAATATATGTTTTTCTCCTCACATTTCAAGAGAAGCGTGGGCTCCAATTTATTTTATTTTATTTTTTTTTTAAAGAAAGTTTTAAGGTGCATTGCATTATTCAAGTAACACTTGCATCGATGCAGCTTTTCAAAAACAACTACTTTCATTGAACAGGAGATTTAAAAAAAAAAAAAAAAAGGAAAGAAAAAAAGAGAAAGAAAACCATGATTAGAAAAGTATTTCTCTTTCCAAAAGAGAATTTCTTTCCAAAATGGAATTTCCAGAAGAGAATCCCTATTTCTATACTACCTGTGGATCAAACCCAGTACTCGCCCCACACTCTGAAACCCCAGGAAGGAAGGTTTATATGTTAACAGTCCCCTCTCCTGAGCTGACAGCTAAAAGAATAAATTATACTTGAAAGAGAAATGGCCTGTGCTTATTTCCCATCCATTGTTATTTAACTAAATTTTCTCCAGCTTTCTAAAGCTCTTCATTTAAAAAATGAACAAAGGTTGAATTAGCAATGAAGGGAAACAAAGAAGGCAAAGATAAGGTGTTTATCTCTGCTGTTCTTCCCTGGGAGCGACAGAAATCCTGAGGCTTCCACAGGCGGGGCCTGTGGGAGGAACCTGTCTCTAAATTAATCACCACCACCACTCTTTACTGCTCCAAAAGACCTGCTCAGGATCTCAAGGTGCATAGGAAATATTAAGGAAAACGCTTCTGGGAGTCTTTGAGAGATCTTACTACCACCTTTTTTTCCTTGGAAGAGATGAGGGACTTAACCACACAGCTAGTCTGCATCACAGTGAATAATAAAATGACTATATAAAAATATATTTTTTATAAGCATCTGTAGCTATATGGAGAGATATACATAGACCAAGACCACTGTGGGAATGAGGGCAGGGATATATATGGACAGGGTATACAATGGAGTAGGGTGGTCTAGACAACATTGTCACCTCTTTGCTCATGCTGTGGCTCTAGGGAATAAAAAACAAAACCTTTTTTTTTCTTTTAATCATCAGTCACAGAGAAGTAATAATCAATGCCTTTGTAAATGGCCTAAAAACCTGCTGATAGAAGTGTGCTGTAATATTATGAGCTACGTTCATGCCTGGCATAAATCATTTCAGCTTCAGTGACTGCAGAAAATTTGGACTCGTGATGTCTTCAGAACTTCACTTGTACAACTAGCAGTTTCCAACATTTAAAATGTGCATTTTCTTTCCTTTTTTTTTTTTTTTTTTTTTTTTTTTTAGTTCTATACTCCTTAGTTTACTTCTATTTTTAAAAGGACAAAAATATAACAACTTTGACACTGAGGAACAGGGACGCTGCTTTAAGCACTGCATCCCAGTATTAACAAGTTGATGTTGTCAAGACGCACTTAGTCCAGAGCTTCTAGGACATATTTATAATTCAAATTGTATTAAGGAGTGCATTAAATATGGAATGTATGATTTTAATGTGCTTACTGTTCATTCAGTTTACTGTGTCTTATCACTGCCAATTAGTCCTTTGAAAAATTAATAGGAAAATGTTTATGTAATAATAGGATAGAAATTTTAGCCTAATAAAAGGTCTGAAAATATGTAGGGTTTGTTTTGTTTAGTAAAGAAATTTTTTGACAGGAGGAATTCTTCAAAATCTCTCCTTTTTAAATAAAAAGAGTGCTTAAGAGAAGAGCACATCACAAAATGTGATGATATCAAACAGAACAGATTATTTTCTTTCTGTGAATTCACATTAGTGGTGCAGGCGGTTTTTTTGCTATGCTAGAGGATGCATCCCCCGGATCTCTCACTGATTATACAAAAAAAAAAGGCGGGGAGGAGAATAATGATAACCATTTTCTGATCCACTTTTTGCTGCTAAAGTTAATTTCAGCAAGTGTTGAGTCCCCAGTGTGAATTTCCAACCATCATGTGTGTTCAAGGTGCAACATTCTGACCAGAAACACAATTGCAAGAACCTGCATTCAGCTATACCTTCCAGTACCTCACAATGGAAGGGCAGAAAAAGAATAAATTCCTGATGTTGTGAATCTTTAGGATTTACTTTGGGAAAAGAGAGCTTTGGGTTCCTATTAAGACCAATAGATATTATGCTGGGTGCAATAATCATACAACAACCAATATAAAATCTTTGCAACATATTTTAGTTCACTTTGCTGATTTCTGTTCTAAAACCTAAAACAGATGCTACCAATCCTAAGAGAGTTTTTGCTTTGCTACCTCATAGGGATCTGTCTGCCTTTTTTGACTTAATGTTACATTTATTCTGTATGTGCAAACAGGCTTGTTCGCACTTTTGATATCTGAAATAATCTCAGTGAGTATAAAGGCAAGATGAGCAAACTAGGTAAGGTAGGATCAGCTCATCACTTCTCAGGGGGTCTATGCTATGTGAGTCTACACTATAGCCAGTCACTCATACAATGAGTGGAGATCTAGCCCCAAAAGTCAATGAAATTTAAAGCATGATTCATCTAACCAAAGGTAGGCATCTACTTTAAAATGAGAGATTGCACTGAACAATTCAGCTACACATAGCAGAAGATAATACAGAGTATAAAGGAGGTCTAAAAAGTCCAGCTGAGATGTCACCAGCTACCTGTATTCAGATGAATCCAACCCTCTGTCTATGAAGGCAAAAACAGGATTAAAACATGATTGGTTTTACCTAATCTAGCTGCCCATTTAATCTCACAGACTTTTGAATCCTTTTCAGCCAGGCAATTTATTTCCAGTCACTCAAATGTATTTTCAATGAAAATTTGTTTTTGTTTTCTTTAGACATACAATTTCAGTTGCCAAGAAGTACATTCATGTGCACAAACCAAAGAGGAACGTTTACTTTTCTATAGGAATATTTTAGAAGAGCAGATGTTGACATGTGCCCATCCGCTCTCTGAAAAAGCATTTGCAATGATTTTCTAGAGACAGACATAAATCATAATGAACAAACTCAGAAGGAACCTGAAGAAAAGATTATGCACTTTTTACTTAAATGCACTGAACCTTTGATGAAGTAAACTATGCTCAATTATTGAATTTCTTTTCCTACTGCTCTTGTTAATATGAATTCAGCAGTAGCATTAAGCAGAGAATAAAGCAGCAGTTTATTCATTAATTAATTCACTAATTTGCCATTAAGTCATTAAATTGTTTATATCTCAGTCTTAAGCATGGATTTCCCTCTAAGTTACCAATTGCAGAAAACTAACTGCCAGTTACTGAGTGGCTTTTATTGAACAATATTTCAAATGAACTTACCAGTTTCAGAGAGCAGTTTGGTAGCTTCCAGCACCTTCTCCGTATAAACTCCTGTTTCATAGTTTTCCATCTCTGCATTGATGATGTGAATAACTCTGGCTGCACGGCCCCGGATGGCACCAGCAGTTCTGTCCAGTGTATCAACATCCCCCTCTTGGAGAGCAATCACACACTTATTCACATCTTCCAGAATATGGTTTTCTGGATAGTAGGGGAAAAAAAAAAAAACCCACACATATAAGATTTGCTGCTTTTCATTCTATCTCAGAGCAAAGTTTACAGATTTGGGTAAATGACAAATGTCAATGCATTAAAAAATTGATAACTGTCCTCACTCCATTCTTAAATACCGCAAAACAAATATCATTCAGTGACACTGTGCCATTCAGCAGTAAAAATCCAAAGTATGATATTCACCCTTAGAAGGGCTTGGGTTGCATCGTCTCCCCTGTGCTATCGGGATCTATCTATTATTCTTTGCAAACCAGTCAGATTAATTTTTGGACTACGGTGTGAATTTTTCATGACAAAGTATAACCATATGCAATGCTGCATAGTCTGAAATAGCAGTGGACAATAGTGGGTCTCCTCAAATGGTTCAGTATTAAGCAGATTCATTGAAATCATGGCAAATAAATCAGTTTTGGCCACTCAGAATCCAGCCACCTAATCTTCTATACGCACTACAGTGTCATTGTCTAGTGACCATGGTCATTTTCTTTACCATACCACGGCCAAATTTGGCCTGGCAAGAAGTCCTTTCCAAATGTGAATAGGAAATACATTTTGAATATGAAGTAAATCATCAAAATTATGGTCAGTCTCCTTTTGGTAGCCACAGGGCTCAACAGAGGAGTGTGCTTAAACCAAAGTAAGCCAGTTCCTTGCTACTAGCAACAATAGGATGCAACCAGACAAAACAGAAGGCAGCAAATAAAAATAAGGATTTTTAATAAAATTTTTTCCTTAAGATCTCTACATTTTATTAGGAAGTCAAGGAAAAATCAAGGGTAGGAACTTAAAACAAAACGCAGTAATGTTAAGGGAAAACAATCCCCTGCAGGTTGGCTCCCCGGTGAGCATAGCTCAGAGTTAACCTTAGCATGCTTGATGTCCTTACTCAGAGCAGTCAACCTCACCTCTCTAAAACTTTCACCAGGAAATTAATTTTCTGTACCAGACATTTATCCTGAGACAACCCAAACTTCGCACCTCCAGCATTCATGGCCAGTCACATCCTGACAGCACATGTGGGTAGGTCTCATATATGGCATCTGTCTACGGCCCTTCCTCCCATTCCTGGTCAGGGCCTGGTTGCCTGACCCAGATGAACAAGGGCACCAGGACATGGGGCAACACAACTGCCCCACTGTTCAGATGTAGCTGATCAGAGCAAGACTAAGCCAGATCGTAAGGAAAGTTGATCTTTCCTCCTTTTGCAAGCATGCTCAGCCTGTTGCAAGACAACAATACACTTTAAAAAGGTGGCCAAAATCCTACTTTGCATCTGACTTGAAACAAAATGTCTCTCCAGAAAGAATAGCTCATATAGCAGGCTATTTTCTGGAAGGCAAAAAGCTAATCTTTGCCTCTAGGTACTAATTGGTAGGGCTCAGTTGCTCTCACTGAGTATTGCAGATCAGCACTTGAACAGGATGGGCTAATGCACTGAGGATGCTTTAGGAACTGCATTTTTTTTCCTGTTCCAATCCATTACTTCAATTTATTATTGTATTTTTTTTCCAGACTCCTCTGTTCGTGGTACCTGAGACAGAGAGGAAATCATCCACCGAAGTAATGTCATCAACAGCTTCAGTGAGGACTCGCACTTGTTTCTCCCACTGGTCTTTGAAGACATCCATGTTGTCCTGTGCTACTTTGCTTTGGGGTCTGGCCGCCAGTGTGAGTGCAGCATTTATTACCTATTATTCAGAATCATTTGTTAGGAGGAATGGCAAAAATTTTCTCAAGGGAAAGAACAAATTGATTAAAGGCTGTGTTAAAAACCCCAGCTGTACACCCTGTTTATTACCCACGTCTCAAGACCTGAATGGATTTTTCACAGTTTGTGCAAAGCAGTCAACAACATAAAGACAAAAGCAAGGCTATAATCTTCACACAGGGTGGCTTTCTGTGTCAACTACCTTATGCTTTTTAATGCCATAAGTATTCTTGAAAACTTCTTAGCATGAACCTTACTTACCTGTGGGCATAGGCTATCAATCTGTGTTGCTGCCATACGGACTAGCTTCACACCTTCTTCATTATTAGAGATTGAACAGGCCAGATTTGCAACCTGCAAGAAAAAAAAGCAGAATGAGCATCAAGTTTTCAGCAAGTGGGCCATTTTATACTTGTTTTTCTCTCTTTGAGCCTTGATTGCATGTTGAGCCTTGTCTAGAACAAAGAGATTGTACACAAGGGCATGATACGGCATCTTTTGTGCTGGCAAACAGAGACTCATGTAGATTATTACCTTACTAGCAAACTGAACTAGTAATACTCACTATTAGATATTTTTCAAAATTTTCTATCACTGCTAGGTGTTTTATCTCCTCCTCCATAGATTGCAGATTGCACTCTCCATACAACTTCTAAGGAGATTTAATATCCAAACAATTAACTATACATTTCCTTTCCTCTCACTTTCTTTTCCCTTTTATTAGCCTTGCCCATGAGGAATAACTGTCATCAGGTTAATGAATATACTCTTTGTCAAATGAAGAACCTCTGAGGTCCTGACATGGATTTGTGATTTGCCATCCATAAACACGGATATCTTCAACAATACTGGGAATTTACATATTTCTCAAGTATCCCCATTACTTCAGATCTTAATGGCTTTATACATGCCAAAATTATCTTAATTTGCAAACAGACCTTTTTATTTTTATGCAACAGTTTGCCCTACAGTGAATCTGCATCAGTAAGACAGTCATAACTTGGTCACATGAAATGTCTCAATGAAATGTTTCCTTCTGTACTGGATGCCTAATCATCTCATTCAGAGATGTAAATATCTACAAGTACTCACTGTAGCACAGTTTTGGCAAGTCTGAACCTCAAAATATTGAGGATGGTTTGGGGAATATAAAGGTAGGGGAGATTTTGAGGGACACCTGAATGAATGAGATCTAGCAACCAAGCCATGATGCCAAGCACCACAAAGCTGCATCCCTGTAGTTGGGATGAGTGGTCTAATGGGTCTCCTAGCGCATACTATCCTTATTGCAAAAAATCCATTGCCCAAAGCTTTGCGTCAAGCCCACAAATCTACCCTGGGGTTTCAAAACAACAATTCATGTCACAGTGTATGTAATTATGCTAATCAGTGATATTTAAAACACAGAGGTACATTTTGGGAGGGGGGAATACAGGATTACATGTTTTTTAAATCAGTCAAAAATATGGCTCTTAAATCTAATCTACATTAAAACAAACTTATAAAATTTTAAATACGCTTCCTTGATATTATTCACTGTGCCCGAGGGCATAACTATCAGTTGAAAATGATTCATGAATTAGTTCAAATATCCCCATCTTTCCAGTTTTCCTCTGGTCTCCCCTCGTAGTATTAATCTGTTCTCGTCGCCAGTGCACATCACCACATTAGCCTTGATCCATCTGTTCTTCCTAGAACCTATTTCGCTTTGCAGTTATTTAGAACGTGGTTTGCATACATCACTGTGCCAAAGCCCAGTGAAGAAAAGGACCTTAGGCTCCAAGGAGTCTTACAGGCATTTCCATGTCGAGATTTTATTATAATGTTATGATTTTTATTTTAATTTCATGGTGAGACAAATGAGCTAGGGTGTTTGTTAACAGCCTACAGCATTTATGTCAAAAATGTTCTCCTAATTTGACATCTTCCAATTAATTTACTGTTTTCTGTAGCCAATTCTTTGCACACATCAAAAAAAAAACACTTTAATCTTCAGGAGAAACAAAAACTAAGCAGGATAATAATTAGAATCCAGTAATGTATATGGAAATTACAGACCTTAAAAACTAACAAATGGTATTAAGTTCAGTAAAAGTAGGTTCTTGTATTTAAAATATGTAGTCTTTTAGATTGCCCTTTCATTTTATGATTAGCAAGATGACAATCTGTCCTAAGGATCCAGATGCACCATATAGTTTACTTTCTTTCAAATAGCAGCAAGCTATGAGAGTGAAAGACTGGGTGTCACAAAATGGCAATCAAACTCTTAGGCAGCTCTATTTGTTTGAGTTCTCGAAATAGATCTTCTCAGAACAAAGTCAGAGAAAATCAAGCGTAATTTCTTCTCTGTCCGTTAATTTTTTTTTCAATAGAATTTGATGAGATGATAACTCGATATTGTAAAACATGCTGGTTTGTCAAGAGAGATAACCTGGAAAAGTTTTCTCCCTCTTGTAAAATACGTCAGAAGCCAGTATATTGTTTTGGATATAACTATCAACACTCAAGGAGTAAAAGTGTAATGCAGGGCTACGTTAAACATGCACCAAAAGAGCATTATAGTTATCTATTTCCAAAATAATAATCATAAAAATAAAATTAATGCCTCTCATATGTAAACCTAATCTAAATGTTTTCTGTGGTATATTTTAAATATCACTTAAATGCAGTCCTGTATAATCAACATCAGCACTAGTGTCACACTTCAGAGGTGATGATGCTGGCTTGTACCATGGGAAACTCTGATTATGTCAAATAAGCACAGAGATAAACAAATCCTGCAAATGTAGATGCAATGTGAATTAAATTGAATTTAGCACTAACAAATCAGGACTGTGACTTTACTTAAAACTTATTTTTGAAGAGTGGAAGGAAATAGACATAATTTTCTACCACCCACATTTTAGTGCCAGCGTTTAAACATGGATCAATGAAGCAGTACAAGTTTTAAGTGCACTCAATCATCAAATACCACACTGTTAAATTATTCTTATTGGCTTGTTATCAAATATACAATCAAGTTACCATAAACTAAGCCTTCTTGCAAGGCAAGGTCCATATACATTCTCTTAGTCCATACGACATGAGGTAATTCAACATGCTTTAGTCTACTGTAAAAGAAAATTAAACTAAAGTCATCAACCTCATCTATTTTTGCTGAAAAAAAAAAGAAAAAAAAAAACTAGTTCCATCCCACTTAGCTTAGACCATTAAAATAAGACACTTTGGTTAGGAGTGGCCACCTCTTTTGATAGTGGCAAAGAGGGACAGGCACTTCGGTAGAATGTCTCAGATTCTCATTACAGTATCTCTCTCTCTAGATGTGTTCAGTAGATTAAAGCTAAACTTTTAAACAGCAATGTCTTACTATATATTTGATTCTAAGGATGTTGAAAATGTTCTTACTGAAATAAAAGCAGGAAAATTTTTAAAGCTATTTTTTAACGTTTCATTATAACTTGTTTTACATAGGCATATGCAAGGACAGACTATCCAGGCAAATAAAATTCCTTATCAGCTTATGCTAAATATTATATTTAGCATATAGCTACTTAGCATATTCTAAATTGGACCTTCCAAGTATCCTTTCCAATACTGCGACCTGAGAGTGTGAAATGCCCTATTGCTTTCCTCAAGTAACCTGTCACCTGAGATCTGTCAGGAAAGGGATGAAAGTTATGGGCTGCTCTGAAATCAGTGATAAAACTTCTACTGATTTCACAGAAACTGGTCTTTACCGTACCCTTCTGAAGGTGAATATTTTCCATTTGAATGTTTGCTGGAGCATTTTCAGAAGGGTCTGTGGCTTAAAATTTATTATCCCTGTTTTTTTTTTTTTTTTTCCTCTAAAATCTTGATTTGACAGCTTTTACATTTAGACTTAAAATATTCAGTTTCCACTGAAGCACTGAAAAAGAGAATTTCAGGAGATGTTGGATTTAGATGTAACTAGGTAATTCATTTTTCTTTTGTTCGTTTGTTTACTAAGCTCACCATGAACAGCCTCAATTCACTGTTTGTCTAAACAGAGGTTTGTACTAAGATCAATGTGAACTGTCTGAAGAATATTTAAATGAATGAATACATTTTAAATACCAGAATCAATGAACTGCGAATCATCCTTGAAATGCATGGGGGACTCAATAACAGTGAATCCGGCTGCGTAGATAAACACTGTTGTCCAAAATTTCAGGTCTGCTGAGCTACTCTTACACCATCAAAACAATTGCTAAAGACCTTAAAACTGTCCTGTGAGTATGGAAAAGCAATGAGCAGGAAAATAAAGGCTCCAGCTGCAGCAATGCCATGTTTTCCCACAATCACTGAAGTCATTGAACCAATCCTAGAACTGGGGAAGTGGAAAGGTGCTTAGAAGTTCTCTGACGTAACTTGGTATCTTTGGCACTAGCAGCCCAAAAAGATAACTCTGCAGCCTGCTGGCATCTCTCTTCAATCATGTGAGTAATTCCATGAGCTTCGATTATTCAAAATATATGCAAGATCAATCCCAATAAAACGTATTTGATTGTATTTGAGCCTCCAGCATTTTCCTGCGTTAAATGAAACAAAACAGATGGCGGGGGAAGGATTCTGTTTCTAATGTGTGGTTTTATTACCATTGAAAGGACATACCAAGGACAGGAGACCCTGATTCTTATTTCATTGTAAAGGTACATCTACACAGCGATTGAAAAGGTAACTATTGCATGGGTAGGCAATGCCTACATTAGCTTTCTGTCATTTATTTATGCAATACAATAACTGATGTAAACATTAGGAAAAAATCACAAGTTATTCTTTTTTAGGAGACTATTTAAAGGCATCCAAGACAATGAAGATTATCTGTTTACACCATACTACTGAGAAACCAAAACTATTTACAATCATTTTCCATCTACTTAATAACTTATCCACATGGCATTACTGTCTCCAAACTATCAGAATTCTGACATATATTTAATTTGGTGTGGGTCCTACTGAGAGGCAGCCCAGTAACCTGTTCGCAAGGACAACTAAGAGATTCACTAGAGGAAAGCACAGAGTTGGAGCTAAGTGACCCAAGACTCACAACTTCCTTATTCTTCCTCTGACCACTCATGCCCTGTTATTATGATCAAAATTTAACTCTTATTAGATAAGATGTATCTGCACATACACAAGTGCTACAAATCATAATGTCACTGAGAGTTCATATTGCAACTCCTCCTCACAGAACACACTACCATTTGTACTGCTATGAAAATATTAGATTTTGGTCTCTTCCTCAGCATCTATTCTATATGGCATGGGGGAACCTCATACCAAATAATGTTGTTGGGTACAACTTATTTATGTTAACTAGTCACTTGGTTTTG